TCGAAAAAACAAAATTAGTTTGCAAATGAGTGCATATTCGATGTTTAAACATTTGGTTCACTGATACACTATGGTCATCAACTACGTTCTCTCTAACCAGACTTCATTAAGCAAAAACAGCTGAAGTCATGGTGAGTACAAAGTTGCTACAAACTGTAGGGACGCGTGGAATATTAAAAATGTAACGAACAATCCATTTGCTTGGACAACACACTGGTTGAGATCAAGGTTTGGTTAACGGTCACAGTTCAGTCAAGATGAATAGAATGGCAACAGTCGCTTTTTGTTGTAGGGTACTTTGATCGAGAGTGTGAGGAAAGCTTGTTTTGTACCCGATTTAGTTATGTTTACCTACAATCTTATGCTATAAATAGAGAAGTAAGTACTCTTCAGTGACCGGCATCATGGCTGTTGAACTAAGCATGTGACTTTGATAATTTTAGCTCATTATGCCAGGAATGAATGCCTAGGAAATTTGAGAAGATGGGATCACATGCTAGAAAAAAAGATACATTTGCCTTCGTGGACACACAGATCAAATTATTCAATGTTCCTTGCGTAGGCAAGCTGTGCGTGTGCCAAAGCCTACCACTAAGAATGAAGTTGTCGACATTGCACAGATCAATGTTGTTACTCAAGCTTCCATTGCCAAACAGCATCAACATTTCAAAACTTAGAATAACAAAAAGTAAAGCGGTGGTTGAGAGAGGTGACCGGATGCTGGCCTATCGCAGGTATTTTGAGGTGCCTGCATTTCCAAGAAAGAAAGAAGGAGACAACACGAAAGTCGTTGACAACGATCAGCCAATATTTCTTGCAAAATCTCCTGCCAAGCGCGTTTGGGGGTGACAACCAAACTCATTATAACGTTTCACACTTTTCTGCCAATTTATACGTTGTCCATCTCGCGGAGGCACAGAGAACAGCACCGCTCTCGGGAGGCAGTTTTTCGGCAAGCATAGCGCAAGTCCAAGCCAGCGCAGTCAATCGTGATGGGTTGTTTCTAATTACCACGTTGCCAATCCGTTGGTGACATTCTACACCAGCGACTCTTCTAAAAACCTGAAGACGCCCCACATTATCTCCCACAGGGACCACGTCTCGCACCCATACAACAACTTAGCCCTCACTGTAACCTCGTACACGGGGCCGTTGAGATCGAGTGGAATGATATCATGATAAATTCATGAAAGGTATGCTAAAATGTAAAATCAACAGAACACAACAATTCCTAGTATCAAAAAATGTTTCGTTTCTTTCGCAATGTGTATTGCTGGATAAACTTCATAGTGAAAATTTTGCTTAATACACCCGGATGGAAAATATGAAAAATACTATAAAGCGTTCCAAAAGGTTTGCAAAGATCATTGATTCTACCGGAGTTCGATAACGTAGGCAGGGGAAGGGTTGAGCACGATGTTTGCCGAAGTAGGCATAACCCATCATGAAGCTAACATTCCAAAAAGCGAGTATTTGGGCTTGGGTGTCTACATGAACAGTTATGAAATTATACTTTCATGTCTCCAGGCGGGTTTGCATTACTGTAGGAGTGGATGCATTAAGTTAACAAAGTCGCCTTGTCTGACGGTAGTTACAGCAAAATTTTGGTTGATTTATGCCACAAAACACGCTTCTTTCTAATCCAGAAAACACAAAAAAGCGTCCACCCTGGTATTCATTTCGTCGCTGACAGCACACGTTTTTAAATGAACCAAGATACTCAGTTTGGGCATATCTCCTTTGACTAATTTCCACAAATAGGACGTTTTGCAGATGAAATTGGTGAGTATGCCAAATGTTTGAAGATCAAGGGTTCGTGCCTTATCAAAGCCATTACCATATTGTTCAGTTCTAGAATTCAACCGATAAGGAAGTGTTTCATTTAGAGCTAGAATGTTACGATTAGCGCCGTGATATTGAAAAATAGTTTGGCCAGTGTGGGACAAAGATACTCTTGAACAGCATTAGAGGTGAAAGATCTGATTGGGAGTTTCAGGTTGGAAGGATTTATCACTTATGTTATGAGGTTCTCCCCAAAACATTTCCGGTTAGACTGCACGCAATGTTACGGCAAGAAAAGCCCTGGGAGTAGTAGGTTACGCATGAAGCGACAGCATAGTTGGCATTATATTTACAAGCCAATATATTCACGTCAGCACCAGTGAATTGTATCCTAGCAACTGATGAAAAGCAGTGAGAATCATCAAAATTGCAGGGCGTTTGTTGAACTAACGATTTTTCCAGTTTCACCAAATGTGAATGGTGCACCTCAGTGGGGTTACTATCTTGCCATACGCAGCAAACTTGATTTCAGTTAACGTTTTGATGCCCCGGCCTTTCAGATGATGCACTTCTCAGCAGATTAATTCTTTATTAGAAAAGCAGCTCGCGATAGGAGATTCCACCCCGCTGCGTAGGGGTGTTTTTCTTTCCACAACCAGCTTTTTTCTGCACAGAATCTGCTCGCACATCGCTGTTGCATATCTCAATTTGTTTCAACAGTTGGTTGGTGTCAGGTTACAAACGAAAGCAGAATTAAACTTGCGTCATAAGAGTTCTATGTACAGTATACGTGATCGTGTAGTAAATGATTCATCTATTTGCTCAGGCAAACACGACTCTCTTGAAATAAGACCCCCATTTCTAAAAATAGTTGTAGGTCTGTTCTTGAATAACCCGGTTGAACTTTATATATCATCTAGTGGATTGAATGCACGCTTCCAATCACTTATCGATTCAAATTAATCTGCTGCATAGACGTTGCATTTTCAAAACCCTACAGAATTACCTCAATTTTTAAATGTTATTACCGTCCTACAAGATTAGGAAGTTCTGTAAATAAGCAACAAATGATTAAAGGCAGCCGTTGCATGAATTTGCACCAGAATTACTCTTGGCACTGCTATTTCAGTAACGTGTGGCTATATGTTCATAGACTAAGTAAAAATCTTTCACTGCCACAGAGCGGACTGAACTCGAGATGGCATTTGGAAGCTAGTGTTCATCCCGTGGAATCCCAGCATGTTTATACAGCGATTGTTTCAGACGCATGAATTGATATTTTTCTTGCGCAATTATTCATTTCCTACACCCTATCTCAGAAGCAGCCGCTGGTCTGCGTAGTGGAGGTAGAAGAATTCGCTGAAATTTGTTTTGGACGAACGAATATATCAAACTTTATGGCCAACAAAAACCAGAGGGCATCATTATGCTTGCAGTTCATTCCTGATAGTCTTCAGCCAAAAGGCCAGCGTTTAGTGGCAATTTTAGAATATCTGCGGCCAGTGATTATCGAGGGCCAGCTGTTTAGTTACCTGAACATGCGCCATTTGAACAGACTTGCTATCACTGACATTCCATTGGTTTCAATGCTTTGTTTCAGCAAACGTTTACGACATTACTGGACGTTAAATAAGGTACCTGGCGATTCTTCTCCTGAAACGAGTGTGTTTGGTAATGTCGGCAAACAGGGTTCTAGCTTCCGTTTCGGGGTTCACTTTGGACTGCAAATTTGGATGGCATTTTTATCTGGGTGTTACAAACGTGCACAATTTAGTCTTTATTTGGACGGAACAATAAATCACTTTGATATGAGGTTCCGATTGTTTCCCAGACGTAGAGAGTCATCTTCCGTGTGCTTTCCGGGATGATACGCACACTACTTTTGGGGATTATGCGCTGGATATTTCTCATATAGACATGAATAACAAATCTGTGTCGTCACTGGTTAAATCAGCGGGCGAGGAAAAGGTGAAACATAGGGGCGAAGCACATCAATCATTTCTCCATGACGTTTTAGGCGGACTAAAACAATTTGTTGGAGGGTATCCAAATAAGTTTTATTCCATATCGACTCGGTAGCTTTGTAAAGTGTCCTGGACATAAAAGGTCACAATAATTTATTGCATACTGGTTTCAGCAACTCGCCTTCTTCATCCAAGATCATCGAAAATTTTCTGAACCACGAACAGCTCTATGGGATCTTTGAAATTGTGTACAATATATGGCACGCTGGCGCACATCGGCGAGTTGGGAAACTCGGATTGATGTTCCTTCCTTTATTTTAAATCCCTCACGCGCCGAATCGAAACCTCCTTACCCATTTAAACCCACCTCTCCAATCCATATTTTGTTAACGTTGTGCGTCATTTAAAGAGGAAAATGTTGGTAACTCAGGTAGAGTGGATGGTCGTTGGCTTGTTCGCTGAGCTGGGTAATTTCGTTGCAGTACGCTCCCCAATAACGCACTGATCATGTCACATCACTTGGTGGTAAAACGTTTGCAATCAAACCACCCAGCTCAGTGAACAAGCCAAAGACCGTTGTACGTCATCATTTCAGTTTATGCTTCGGAGTAAACCACTTGCTAACTCTGCATCCTATAGCGGAATAAAGTACACACACTTTTATCCCGTTTGTTTCATCGGGTTAACAAAACTTTGTAATTAAATTGCGACATTTTCGGTAAACTACATTGCCTTTGACGATATTTACCCTTGATTACCGACTTCCGCTTTGAACGTCACAAACCAACCTTAAGTGACCAGCAATAAATGGTGGGGTAAACTCAAATTCGGTGGCTATAGTTGGAAAAATTGGCTTCACAGGTAATAATCGGGAGTATGCGGAAAAATATGTTATTTCTATGCACCTTAGCTGTGAGGGACACTGAATGTTTACACATGTCTGTTGCTGTACGTGTGTCAGGAATGGAGGAATACGCCCATCTGTACGTGTTCTATTACAATAGTGGATTGATACCACAGGACAAAGACCGCACGGGAAGCCCAAAGGTCAATGTATGCTTTGGTATTCAAAGTATACTTCTGAAGTTGCGGTAAAATTTCATGACCGGATATCATATTCATGAAAAGTGATATAAAGGAAGATGAACAGCGATTTTGTTCTCCCCAGCAATTCTCGCACTACAGAGTTCTATATTCACCAGTCACCACTTAATGCATATCTTGTCTACTTATTCTCCAATCCGAAGTCCGGAAATGGCCCCAGGGGTACATGTGTTTAATTCGGAAAAGCAGATAAACGATGCAAGCACCACGAATAATACAGACTCACAGAGCGAAGTAAGAAAGAAACCATCACTTCCCCAAGGACCGCTGTGGAATCGAGACTGAACTACCCTTTCCTTCCCGTCACATCGAAGCATACTTTGGGCTGGATGAACAACCTGCGACTATTCTGGCACTGAAGTAAAACTAATAAGTGTATATGTCCTGATTTAAAGAGCACAAAAGTGCAAACTTCAATGATTATACCTATATATTACTATCTTTTACCAAGACCGGAGTAAAAATATAAAACCAGGCATGGGCAACTGGTGTGCAATACAAAGTCAAACGGCGTTGTACTTCGTGGCTTGCGCACGGTATTGTATCATTAAATGTGAGTTTGTCAGGATGAGGATGAACAGAAAGGGGAATAAAAACTCCCATTTATATTTGTCACTGGTCCTAAGCCGAAAGCTGTCATATGTGTGAACGAAATCGGTTGAGCAATGTTACGTCTACAGTAACCAGGAAGCTACAAACAGCAGCCGGACTAACACTGGCGCTGTGCAAGCTTTCGATCTCTTTTTGTGTTTTTCTACTTTCGCGTGCAACCAAAATTGCGTACTGCTGTAGCTTATAAGGATAAATTTGTTGAAACTCTGTGACCTTGAATAGCATTCAAATCTCGTCCGTTTTTGGCATGTTCACTCTAAACGGGAGACAGTTGGGTGAAATACTGCGCCGACCCTTTTTCGACTCCGTTTGCTCCTAAAACAAACAGGGAACTGTGCTCACTTAAATCTGGCGATTCCGGTAATATGAACTCAGCGTCTTAAGACCTAATGAACTGTGATCGGTTGTTAATGCTGTAGTACCGCAAGTCTTTATTGAATGTCTGATACGGGTCGCTATTTTGTCCTCTGGTTTGCTCGGCGCTCGCTTCACGATTGGCTTACACTAATTTTATTTGTCTGCAGTTACTTAATGCTCTCCAACTTTGTTAGGTGCATTTCGACCAAAGTAACAGTGAGAAATGACTAAAGTTGGCATATCGTTGTAAGTGGATGATGAATTCTGGAACAGCAAACCGCCTAAGGCGGATCCAGCGGCCCCATGGGTCCCAAACGTCTGAGTGCAATTATATGTTGTATGCTGATCAAATAAATCTATTCAAGTATGCCCCAATTTTAGAGGAAGTAATGGCATACTAGCGTGAGTCTTTGTCCAAGGAGTTTTTGGATCACGTCACCTAAACACAGTGAGATGCCAACCGAAGACGATCAACAGACTAGTGAGATACAAGAGAATCTGTGCATGGTTTATGTAATAATATTATAGGAAAAAATAAGCCAGAACAAGACCCACATCTCTTTGGAAAATGTTCCGATCTGAGAGGCTCGAAAACTTTGTTATTCAGAGTATACACATCGATTAAACCATGAGATCGGCTAATGAATAGCACCCCCACACTATTCGTATGGATGTTTTCTTTTTAATCTTGGATTCTGTTGTGCTGCAGTGCGTCTCGATCCGCTTGAAAAGTTTCCGAATTGAGGCTTATTTGTGGCAATTTGGACGGCTGTTGCGGTAGCTCGGGATTCGGTCGGTATGTGCTGCCTTCCTGTAGCTGTGGTGGGGACGTCCGGATATGCCACTTTTCCCTCGCTTTCTTCACTGATTGTCGATTTGGTGTCGTCGTAAACGCTTAATATTTGACTTACTCTTCGCCATTCGCTCGTTTTGATGATCACAAAAGTGTTGTCCACGTAGTGGAGCCATATTTGGGGATTTATATAGCGCAATACAATTTGTTCCAACTTTCACATCGTGATTTCCGCAATGAATCCTGAAATCGGCGACACCATTGGTATTCTTCGTAGCTGTTCATAATATTCTCCACTGAACTCAAAATATGTGATCAGGCATATGTTGAGTAAGCGGCAGAGGTTTTTTCTCCAGTGAACCAGTTGGCATGCTGGGGTTGCCGAAAAATTTGGCTGCAGTTGTCTTGGTGGAATCGAGGTAAGCATTAGTGAATAGTGAGTTTACATCAAATGAGGCCATTGTTTGTTCCTGTATTATGTTTACGTTCCCCAAAACATTGTCCCACATTGTTGACCCACCAATGAGATGTTTCGGCTTCTTCCATAGTTCATTCAAAAGAATGTTGGGTACGTTTCCAGGAAGAGGGTGGGAGAGTGGCCGAATCACGAATCGCTCAAAACTGGAGGTCCGTTAGACCTCCAATGATGTACACGTTTTATGACAAGTTGCGTGTGTACAAATTTTGTTCACCGCCGATGAAAGGTGATGGTTAACCAATACTATCCAACCATGTTAGCCACGGAAATTCCTCGTGTATTGTTATATCCTGTGGTGGGGAAATCCTGAATTAATACATTTTTAACGTTCAGCGCCATGACTTCCCATTTGTGTAGGAAATGTACTTTTCGGTACACATAACTTAATTTTCCCCAGATTATTCGACGGGTAATGTAGATATCTTTGGCTGAACGCGTGATGCATCAGAAGAAGTTAGGTGTCAAATGGGAATGCGCTCTTATGTCCTTTTAAAAAAACCCGAAACGGGCTATCTGGAGGATACGGTGTAAAGGAAACAAAATAACACCTCCCGAGACGTTAAGTTCGTGTAGCGAGTAGCACGCTCGCCTACCATCCGAGTAAGCAAAGTTCGCTTCCCGTCAGTGCGCACAATAGAAAATAAATAGAGCTAATGCAAAGTTGTTAAGCGAAACCAGATAGAATGTTATCAGGGGATAAAGACAACTTAAGCATGCAACGAGCGCCAAGGAAGCAAAATGGTGTTGTAATAAACATGCATAAATTAAGCTACTCATGAGTAGCCGGAACAAAAACTGAAAATAACGGCTGATCGACCTTGGTTTACACGACGAATCAAAATACTTTTGAAATTTTGTTGATGTTGACATAAGTGTTCTATGTATCCTGGTCATTCACCGTGTTACCCGTCCTCAGTGCCATGTATCTGTGAGGAGTGTGGCTGATCCTGTTTGCATGCATCACTGAAGCCAAGCACGGTATCAAAGGAATATTTCTAGTGACTCTCCACACATTAGCGATGATTCACCGATATATTTTGAACGGACTTTCAAAGTATTCTGCATTGGTCTCATAACGCGACCGAAATATCTTTAAAGGAATGCAATTAGGTCATAACACCGCTCCTGAACTCCATTCACTCTTCTAGGTGTTGGATTTTAATTATAAGCCAAAATGAGGACACGCGATCAATTGATCTACAAAACTATCCGTTCTGTGTCTCACACATCCATAAGGCATATGGTTTCACGCATGCAGAGTTTACCCTACGGTGACCCGAGTGACCTCTTCACCAAATGACTGTCAATCAGTAACTGGTTCAAGATCTTGTGTCAGGTGAATCAATTAGAATAGAAGTAACATGCTGAGGTTCAGTCGGCGTGAGAAACCTCAACTATTGCACTGGTACTAACGAACTAAACAAGGCGTTTGGACGAGGGGTCATTTGTTCAGGAGCTTTCGAATAAACACACAAGGAGTCGAAGAAAAATGTTCGCCTATTTGAGAAACTCAATAATCTTCGATACATTTTCTAACTCTCCTGGGCCTTCGGTCGAATTTTAACTCATCTGTCCGAAAAATGCCTGATGCTTCCAGTTCCAAACAGATATTCCTCCGTTTTACTTCGCAGCATGTTTCCTCATTCTATTTTGTCTCTTCGTGACAACCAATAAGCTTGTTCACAATCAGATATTTGTCTTTAGGCATCAGTTAGCTAGACGCAGCGGTAAAATGGTTATTCCATAACCTGTGAATATTCATAAACCTTGAAGGATTTGATCTTCCTGATATTTTTATATGAGAGACTAAGGTGGTCTCATGGCATTTTATCCAAGTGTTACCTAGTTTAGAAGAGAATGGCTTGTTTCTCAAGGGGATCAGGTACTGATTTTTTGTTCTGCAGCTTCGTCACAGTCCGCCTAACCTTATCAAAGACGCTGGTGTCTATACTTATACAGGGTGTTATCCTTTAAGTAACACGAGTAGCTTCCAACCTCATCGCGCGTCCCACATCCGTCCTATCGCCATTCATAACATCACTAAAGACATCCGTAACTTGCAAGCTTAGGATATACAGACACTATAATTCGTGAATTTAAGCCCAAACAACTTGTTGATATTCAGTGACTTACTTGGTGGAGTGACCATGATTCACAAGGAAATAGTGACCAAAGATGTGTTAATTTGACGGGAGGCATCCATAAAATTCAGTATATTTCGTAAAAATAGACTTTCAACATTTTCTTTAGTTCTCTCTAGAAAGACAGCCGTGGCTCACTTCTATTTAGTGTGGCAGTTTAATACCATACACATTTTTTTCTTGTATACACGGCCTAATGCACCTAACTCATTGGACTTCAGTTCGGGTGGCCATGAAATCCAAAAAGAATGTTTGCAAATTAAGATGCTTTGCGCGAAAATCTTGTCAAACTTCCAAATTTATTTGCCATGGAAAGATTCTAAATCGGTCAGAAACTTTTGCGGGCCCGAAAATTTTGCAAACTCCGACATGAAGCAAGATTGAGTAGTTTCTAATTCGAAGTGATCAGAAGTGATAATTCTTACATCTCATTTTTGACCCTGGTAACAATGTCTAATTACTTCGAGTGAATACACGCTAAGAGCCTCAGAAATGCGTTGCAACTCAAAGCAGGTCAGAAATATTGGGCAAACTACGCCTTGGTCTGAGCACAACTACTAACCCACTGCTACGCACCATTACGCTCCCTAATATCGCACTGAAGATGTTACCTCAATTGGGACGTTTGCAATCAAATTGCACAGCTCAGCGAACAAGCCAACCACCATCCTTGCTATTTGAGCTACTAACACTTTCCTCTATAGAGAATTAGGTTCTAAATGAGCTGCTTTGTTTCTCTTCTAGTTACTGTTGTATATTTATTTAATCGGAAACTACGCAATTTAGACTATACCTAGAGGGAGACTGGATATATACCCCCATTCACACTGAACATCATTCGTAATCGCCCTTT